GTTTTTTTTCCAGGGTCTGTACTTTCACAAAATAATGGTGGGGGTGGGGGGGGGGGGGTTAAGTAATCCCCAGGTCTAAAATGTGCATTTAATGTACAAATAAAAGGAAATGGAGAAGGATTTGGGGGTAATTGTAGACCGCAGATTGAATAACAGCTTGCAGTGCCAGGCTGCTGTAAACAAAGCAAGCAGAGTCCTGTCCTGTATTAAGAAGGGGATGTATTGTAGGGACAAGTCTATAATTTTGCCACTTTACAGATCACTGGTTCGGCCTCATCTGGAGTACACGATCAAGTTTTGGTCACCAATACTCCTTGAGCTAGAAAAAGTCCAGCGGAGGGCAACCAAACTCATTAAGGGGTTGGAGGACTGAACTGTGAAACAAGGTTGTTAAAATTAAATATGTTCTCTTTGGAAGTTAGGAGATTAAGGGGTGGGGCATGATTTTCCTGTATAAACTGTTCAATGGTGACAGCAACATTATTAACAAACTGTTTACGGTTAGCTTCGTAACAAAGACCAAAGGGGCACCACCAAAATCTGGTGGAAAAAAATTTTCAACACACGGGGCGCAAGGGGTTCTTCACAGTTAGAGTGGTTAAGGTCTGGAACTCACTGCCACATGAAGTGATTGCAGCTAAGAGTGTGGAATCATTCAAGAAACTCTTGGACAAGTTCCTTGGAGACCATAACATAAAGGGGTACAGATACTCCTAAGAGCAAAATCACACATGGACTCATACACATGCACACACCAGCTCAAACACAAATGCATACATGCAATAGGTTGGACTTGATGGACTTGTGTTTGTATTCAACCTCATATACTATTTTACTATGTTACTATGAAAAGATAAGCAAAAATGGCTCTAGCAGCAAAAGTATTAAACCTCTTTCAGTTAAGTTTTTACTGTCTGTGTTCTGGGGACTCAACAGCAAATGAGAGGGAATCTGTGGGTAAAGTGTTGGAAATTCCCCTCTCAGGACCCATTCACACCAGGGCAATCAGTTTGTGTTTAACACACATGTTAAGATATGTTATGACATGCATTGAGTTAAGGCAGCCCATTCATTTTAATAGGCTTCTCAAAGCATGACACATTATCTAACTAATACCTGATGCAATTTTGGCAGTGCAGCACACTGTAGTATGTTGCCTTGTGCTGCAAAGTAGGTGCATTGTGAAGGTGTGTTGGGGTGTTCTTCAAAATAATGGCACTGCAGTGCACCAACATACCTAACGTAACTGTTATGTACTGCAGAGTGCAGATTATGTTTCAAGCCATACCTATCCACGTACTGTATATTGTACATATTGTACACTCTCTATTCATATTTTAAATTGGTTGTGGCCCTATTGTATACTAGCATACAGTAAATTCTAAATGACCACCTATTTTAGTAAGATATGTGCCATTATTAACACAAATCAGTAATTACTTTTAGGAATCAAGAATGAAATTGAGAACTTAAATAATGAAATCCATTTAAAATAATTATACTGACAAAT